GATTTATTTTTACTAGATTCATGTTTATTTTTCCTCCCGCGCGTTATGGTACAATTATTTCGGGCTTTATTTTAACGTTATTTCTCCAAAACGCCGTTACCCCTGTGTGTACGTGCGTACGCCTCAAACGATATTGTTAACGACGACCGCGGCTACAGAGCTACAGGCAACGGCAATAAATTCCGCGAACGCTTTTTTAACGGTAATACTCTTAAAAAAGAGAGCGGAGAGCGGCCGAAAATCGATGGTTCGAAAATATCGTACATAGATCGCTGAACGATACGCGGAGACTCGAAAACCCCCGACTGGACCTATTTTGACGCGTTGTTTAAAAAAAAAAAAAACGAAATCCGCCACCCTGTATATTAACGTAATATCGCGTGTCGTACACGTGTCGGGCTATAAGTCGCGAAACCGCCGTTTTAAAAAACGCGAACGCATTCGTCTTTTTCTTTACGCGACGTAACGACTGCGCCACGCAACGGCAGCAGTTGGCCCCGTCACGACGACATCTGTTGTTCCGTCGATCGACCGACGGCTAACGGTCGTCTGTATAATATTTAATGTCGTTGTGACGTATAATAACGTATTAAGTTATCGGGCGCGTTACAGATTTTCGCTGTTTTTTTTTTCTTTTGAAGCCCGGCACCGACCGACGAAAAAGTCGTTTTTTTTTTTTTTTTTTTGTTTATAATCTCGACGTGTCGGTATGCCTCCGCGCGATATCCGATCGGTTTATACGCGACACGCTGCACAGTCGGTATTTTATCCGCGTCGCCATAACAATATTGTCGTGTCCAGATATTCTCTACAAACGTATGCATATCGCCGACCTCCGCGAACGCCTTATACATATACGTCGTCGTCGCCCCCCCCCCCGCCGNNNTCTTTTGAAGCCCGGCACCGACCGACGAAAAAGTCGTTTTTTTTTTTTTTTTTTTTAAGTCTTCTCGCGTTCCTAATTCGATTTATAACGTCACGAAAATGGTATTGTTAAAATAGGAAAGTAAGTAACTTTAATAGGCGGCTCGATAAACTTACAAATACCATACGCATAGTGTTTACCCGTTTTCGTTGGTCCGATGACGACCGCGCGGCGAAAAGGATTTGTCGTTTTGCGGCGAAACGCGCGGCGGTGAATTTCGAAAATATCACAATCAGTCAATAATACGGACCAAAAAAAAAAAAAATCGACGAACGCCGACGAGCAGATTGTACAATAATATATTATGCGCGCAAATATTTTAAAACGCGAAAAAAAACACGCCCTACACGGCGAACCGTTGGAAATGTCGGAAAGTATTTCGAAAACCATAAGTACCGTCGGGCGAATAACAGTGAACCAATCGGAGCGCTTTTACTATCTGATCAAAAAGAAATACCGCGAGGGGAAGGAAGGAAACCCATCCCCGCCGTACACGAGTACGCGCTCAGAATTTCGGAAATCGACGGATCCGCGGGTCGCCGTTATACGGCTCGCCGCCGGGCCGTTACTTTGTTTATATTACTTTTTTATCCGATCGGAGATTTTCGGTCGTTATCGGGGGCGGAGTGTTTTTTTTTTTCTTCTAAAAAAAAATCCCTTTCACACTTTAAACGAATTAATCCGCGAACCGCCTGCACCCGCAGCATCGCGCGCGCGTTGAAATCTCGCGTACACACTCCCGCGGTTCCGAGAATAAAAGAACATTACCTATATGTTGTTGGAAAAAAAAAATAACAATAATAATTATACAAAATTAGAAACGCATTCGTTCAATCGTCTCGCTTCTCCAGAAAACTTGGATTTATCGTCGAGTTCTCCACAAAAGCTGCTTGTTTCGTCTGATCTTACTCGGTTTCGCCGTTTCCCGTTTTTTACGAGCCCAAACGGAAGATCACGACACTTATACCGGCTCGCGATCGCCCACGAACCGTAGGACACCGCATAATAGATTCTTATCCGCAATTGCTCGATGCGGTCATTTAAAGATCCGATCGACGAAATTCGCTAACGGGACGTTTAAAACTATGTAATGCACAAGCAGAAAAAACGTCTAGTTACAACAGCATCGCGTGGATCGCAATATGTTTTTTTTTATTCGCGTGCATTACGACTGACCATTTCGCGATGTAAGGAGCCGTTTTCCCGCACGAAAAACACCACGAAAAAAATCAACGAGTAATGTGACCGAAACAATTCGTCGAGAAAATATTACAACGTACGGATACCGTTTTGTTAATTTTTTACGCTGTTTTTTTTTTTTTTTTTTTTTTGGCGGCCGAGCGTATCTTCCAAATCCAAACGCAATCGTTTGGAGAAACTTTAAATGTGTACGAGGGCGTGAGCGCCTCGCCGTCCCTCCGCCGGAGCCGCCCTTGGCGCACCGTAAGACCGCGAAACGCAGGCAGATTATTTTTACGAGCAATAAACACTGTATGGGTGCCCACCTACCCGCCTATACGTTCTCGCGGTGCCGGCGTCATTTATTTTTTATTAGTTTCAATTTTTATCGACCGGATGCGTTTTATAAACGTCGTCAATTATTACCTAACGCTTTGACCGTACATAATATATTCATCGCCGCGGCGCGTATCGATGAAAACCGCTCGTTAAATTTTTAGTGAATAAAAAAATGACAATCATATAAAAACGTTCGTCGAAATGTGAATTTCAAAACGCTTGTTAAAAAAAAAAAAATATACGACACATTTACGCACGCAACCTTTTCCCGTTGTTTTCGACCGGTGTACGAATTCCGTAAGGATTACGGGGCGGTCGTCGAAATGTCCAGGTGGCCACGATTATTTAAACATACCGAATAAAAGTCAGATTAACAAAATCGAATATAACAGAAACGCGGCATCGCGCACGTTTTCCCGTTTCCTCGAAGTTTTTTTCCGGGCCGTGCGCCGTTATTAATAACGCTACAATGAAAGTCGAAAAATCACTTCTATAGTTTGTTTCGAATCGCGGAATTACAACAGTGAGGTTCGACCGAATTCAACCGAGATCGCCGTTGATTGAGTCCCAGCTCCAGCCACTGTTCTGTGTATTCTATTTGCCCGGCAGTACACATTTACAACAGCGCAGGCATTCCCGTCAGCACTGTCGGTCCTTTTTCATTTTCCGTCCGCAAACGACATTTCTAGAATTTTTTTTTTTTTTTTTTATTACACAACGGTATAGGTTTTTTAGTACGGCGCTGAAACAAAGCGCGAATCAATATCAATTTATTATTTTTCAATACGGTCATAAATATAATAGCCCCCCGTCACATAAATATAAACGCGAAATTAATTGCGAAACGTACGCGCGCGGCGTAGTGAAACAAATAACGCATTGTCAAAACTTCGCATTCGATCGAACGTTATACGTTTGCCACGTACCTCCTAATAATAAATAGCCGTCTGGCCCTATGGTTCGGTTTTTTTTTTTCATAATCGTCGCAAACGAACCAATGCGTTCCGCGGTCGTCGGACACCGCGGGAAAACGGCGTTAGCCGCGCCACGCGCGAACGTGCGGCGCGCGCGACAACGATAATCGTGCAAGTACGCTCGCCCGGTAAATATACCGGCGCGTATTATATGCGCGTGCGTGTGTGTGTTATTATCGTAACGACTCTTTCGGGTTGTTTTTTTTTTTTTTGTTTCAATACAATAATTTTACCGTCTCCGCCTCTTTTTATGCGCGTGATACGCACGCGCCGTTATCGTGTGCGGTTCGCGATACGGTACACAACGGCGCGGCATCGACCGAACCCGCGCTTGGACCGGACCGACGCGGCTTTTGGATTTGCGTGCGTGCCGTTTTCTCGAGAACCGACTCCCTCCTCCCAGTCGTCCACCCAGTGGTGGCGGCGGCGGCGGCGGCTCCGTAAAAGTCTCGTGGAACCGTGCGGGCCGTGGCCGCGAAATTCCGCCGTAGTGCCGGCCGCCGTGAAACGGCCACGCGGTCTTCCGCGGCGTTCGAACCGCGGAACGTTCGGCGCGGAAACTGTGTAACCGAGCGCGTACGAATATGAAAACGGATCGGTTCCCAACCCGCGGACGCGTTCGGTGCACAAACCGAAACAACGGAGGTGCGCGGCGTCGGCGTCGGTTTTGACGGTTTTCGCCCGAACGGTCCGTCGGTCCGTAATGCGCGTTCGCGTTCGCGGTTATAATATCGTTACCCGTTGACCGACCGCCGCCGTCCGTGTGTTTTACGACAATATTGCCCTGTTTACAGAACCGCGCCGCCGTCGTCCGGCTGACGGACCGTGATAAATACGTTTTTTTTTTTTTTTTTTTTTTTATATTTCTGCGTCGCGGAAAATATAAATTATAATTTTTACGGGCGCGGCGGCGGCGCAGACTGAACGCGCTGGACGTACGCGGCGCGCCGCGCCGACACAATAAACGCGCCGATTGATCCGCGGCGGACGCGTGGGAACTCCCGGGACAAAGCGCGAACGAAATAAAATACTAAAAAATCCTGTCGGAGGTGTCTGTGCGCACGTCAATGTCTTGTTCTCGTGTGAAAACGTCCGTTCGATCCGGTAACGTGGTAAAATATTACGTATCGAGTTAAACGGCCGTCTCGAGCAGTGCCGAGGACAGGGCGATTCACGCCTATCGGGAAGTTTTAAAAAAGAGCCCCTACATAACAAAAAAAAAAAATACTGGCCATGTTTTTTTTCGTCTCATACACGGCGAACTAACATATCCGAATCCATTATTTAAACCGGTCGTGCCCATCGCTGCCAAAAGCGATCCAAGGATCCCGTTGCAGGAGGGCTTACCGACGGGGAGGGGGCACCGGGAAATTTCCGATAGGCTTATCCGCTTCTGCTTACGAGTATAGCGGAAATAATATTTCGCAAAACTGATATTATGTAAAATGAAGAAGAAGAAAAAAAACGGTTTTCGAAACCGTACACCGAATGTCTATAAAAATAAGATAACATAAAAATTGCTCGGTGGAAATTTCAGGTTTCTACGGTTATTTTTTTAATTAAATTACAAAAAAAATCAAAATCGAAAATAATAAATACCGTTATCACGTGAATGTTTGCCGTTTTTCCTTCGTTTTACTAAGGAAAACCAAAAAATAATGACCTCCCTACAAAAAAATTTGTTGGAACGGTCCAATCGAAAATTATTCGACATTGCGACGCCAATTCCGTGGGCCCCCACTAACGCATCACATCTGGATCCGAAACTCTACGAGAAAGTTCTTTGCAACGTTTTCGATCATATAGCGAGATTTCCGGTCAAAAAATATCGTTGACTCGGATACTCGCATAAAAAAGAAAAAAAACGCACGTCATATTAGTGAATAAAAAACTACTACCTACGCGTTCCCTGTCGCTATATACGTACGTTATTACGGCTCAGAATCTAAAACGGCTGCGATAAACATAGCCGCGCGGTATGTATATTGCAAACGTGTTTCGGAAATAAATATAATGGAAAGATGCGTTTGAATGGAAAAAAAAAAAAAAAAAAAAAAAAAAAAACGAATCGGACAAAAACAATGTATACCGGCGCGCATCATGTGAAACGCGCGGTCATTTTATTGTTTGATCGTGATTTTTCGATACAATGCGCATTATACAAGTGTATAACATTATAATATATATGTGAGTGTGTGTGTGTGTGCAGAAAATAACTTGACCGAAAATATACGGATCGGGAATAATAATAAAAAAAAAAAAAACGCGCGTTTAGTTTTTAAGTTTTTTATAATAATATTACACGGTAAACCGCGTCCGACGAAAAATGTGAAACGATATTTTCGTATCGTACGCGTGCGAGCAATCGACGATAATCGACGCTCATTATCCCGGAAAGTATTGATAATTCTTTTCGTTTGGGAAATCCGAAGAACAAGCGGCTCCATAATTTAATGTTTTACTTCCGTTCACTCTTGTCGCCCTCGTTATCGGAGAAGAGGTATAAATCAACACGAAAGGATTGGACAATCGTTTGGCCCGCCCGAAAATTAGGGTGACAAAAAAAAAAAAAAAAAAACAACAACCACGCAAACGTTTTGTATCAGCTCGTTAAATTAAATATTGACCAAAAACGATTGCGAGTGGCTTTGTCAACAGTTAATCGAAAAATGACTTTCCTAACGTGCCATTACAGTCAGATTTCTTCGCAGAAAAAGCACCGTAATTGAAAAATCGAAGTAAAATCGACGGTAGAAAAACGGTCGTAAAACCGATAAATTTCTCGTTTCGGTCGGAATTCGAAATTCCGGAAAAATCGTATGCGCTTCGAGATAACGCGTGTCGTTCGTCGTTCACTCTGTACAGTATAACATGTAAACACCGCGTATAATATTTTTGAACGCCCGCGGGCGTACATCATATTTTACATTGCGTTAATAACGGGATAATAGTTCTCGGTTGAAAAATCTCCGCGGCCGGGCTCGGGTCGTCGGGAAGAAAAAAAAATATATCCCCCCCCCTATCCCTCCGCCCTCGATCGAGGACTTAAACGGTTCTCGCGCGGTTAATCCGCGCCCGGCACTAAGCCCCGGAGCGGGGAGTCCGCGCGGGCGCCCGACGGATAAATAATAAGCTTTTTAAATTTGATAAGCCTGTTAGCGCTGGTCGCGGAAAACGAGTGCGAAATCTCGTCCGATTTTACACTCGATTTAGTAACCATCAACTGTTCCGTGGCCGCACAATAAAATACAATACGGCGCGAGTCGACAGAGAGACGGAGAGAGAGAGAGAGAGAGAGAGAGAGAGTGAGAGTGAGAGGAGGAGTAAGAAGGAGAGCGACGTATACCCGCGTTCTTTTATTCCGCGTTGCTTTCGAATCGTACGGTGGCCCGCGGGTTCGGGTTCTCGCGCGCGCGCGTTTCTTTTAATATGTTATCGCGCTAAGCCGATTTTCGGTGTTGAAAAATCCCCGCCGCGACACAATGGCCC